CTAATACTGTAACAAAGTAAATATTCCTCTGCTTAAACTTTATGTAAAAAAGGCTGTAAAATGATAAAGAGTCAAACTGCACTTGTGTAAATACCATAAATGATATCAAAATGACGGTGTAACTTTCTGTGACCTGTTTAAATTGTTGCTACTGAAAAGAGTCAGACTGAGATTAAATCTCCAAAAATGTCTGTTTCCCAAAATCCCATGAATTCTTATTGCTTTCTTGCAGTATCTTTTTTTTCCTTTTGTTGAAACTTTAGTCTACATTTGGTGACAATACCACTAAAAYGAGTCACAACACACTTCCCTGTCAAGCTGCATGTTTTCATGTACGATTAGCATGTTTTATTTCTAGATGTTAACGGAGTATCTTGTGTGCTCACCCTTTATAAAATATTTCCCACCGTAGTTCACCGTTAAACCTGCAGATCRTTTCTCTGTAATGTGTCAGCATGGGGAGTGAACAGCAGCCACCACAGTGACCTCTGACCTCTGACCTGTCTGTCCAGGAGTGGGCGGGCCCCTGTGACATCAGCATGGTGAACAGCCAGGCCTCCGGTGCACCGGCGGCTCCCAGGTCGTGTGCCGGCTGCGGGGGGAAGATCTCTGACCGCTTCCTGCTCTTCTCCATGGAGCTGTACTGGCACACACGCTGCCTCAAGTGCTCCTGCTGCCAAGCCCAGCTGGGGGACATMGGCACCACCTGCTACAGCAAGGGGGGGATGATTCTGTGTCGCAGCGACTACATCAGGTGAGAGACAGGAGGAGGAGATGGAGGTGGCGGCCGTGCCTTTTTTCAGGTCGTCAGTCTGGTTTTTGTGTGTTGTTTGTGTTTCAGGTTGTTTGGGCACAGCGGGGCATGCAGCGCCTGCAGACAGTCGATCCCAGCTAACGAAATGGTGATGAGGGCACAGGGAAACGTTTACCACCTCAAGGTAAACACACACATCAGTGTGCAGAAGCTGTTTCAGTTCATGGGTTGAAGCCAACATTGGCCACAGTCGACGTGGGCCGCTCRTGTCGGCTGCATTAACRGATGTGAAATGAGACGGTCTGGTCTGCAGAAGACCACGCGCTGCCTCGTTACCATGCTGATACGCTTTTTATCAAATCACTTCAGTTGTTTTTTCAAYGTTTAACTTCACAAAAGTCAGTGTTAATAGAAAAACTACAAGTAAATAAATAAAAATCATTAATAATATGGGTTTAGCTCCAGTATCAGTACTTGTAATTGCATTTTATTTATCATTTCATTGCAACAACACTTTCTTCAGCAAAATTGTTTAACTTACATTCTTTGGTTCGTGATAAATTTCCAAACTTCGTCATAAAARAACGCCCCAAAAATTCCTGTTTAATTTGCTGACTGCGCAGTAAATTCTGRGATTCCGTCGGCTGCGTAGGATACTCAGATGCAGCCGACGTTTTCGAGGTTTTGTCCGCATGAGTAGGAGTCTACAAACTGGGACAGCCTACGACGCGGAGCAGTGACATCAGCAGCCAACACTGGCTGCAACCCATCATATCACACATGGTATTTCATAGAAAAAATACATTTTCTTTTTCTATAGGGACTCATTGGTTTAGAGCAGGYGTCTCCAACCTGTTTTTCATTAGGAGCTACTTTCACAAAATGAAATTGTCCRMAAGCTACTTTGTGCATTATTTAATTTAAAACTTAAACATAAACAATGGGAATAAGCTTGTTTTGCACAAAAAACATTGTCTTCAGTTCACATGAAAACACCACAAAGAACACTGAATTTACCTGAATGTGCTTTTTGTGTTTATCCATTCATATTATATTGTTTTTCATACTAATAATTTAGGGTTTAACAGATTTGTGCACAAATAACATCGGGTGATGGGTCTCCATTTTTTTTCCTCATTGTAGACTCCAGTGGGAAGAAACCCCCTGTAGTGACAAAATCGCAGTGGGAGGGGTTTCCCAGGAGTTTGGCACAGTGTGTCTCAAGGGGCTGTGAAAGATGTGTGCAAAAACGAATGCCGAACAACCATGTAACTGCATCGTCTGCCCATTGACCATACTGACCCCTAAACTGTTTGATTGACAACCATGGGGGAGAGACATCATTGATTGGAATTAAACGAAAGTTTGTTTGGCCAGTGGCAAATTAAATTTTGACTCTCCTAATTTTTCATCAGCACTGAAGAGCTACTGGTTGAAGACCCCTGGTTTAGAGTTAATAGTTGATTTTAGATCATTTAAGTCTTTTCTCACATCCCAACAGGAGCTACGTCTAAGGCTCTATCTTTGCTGTGCATTTAAACTCCTCAGAGTTATGAATGTYGAAGCAAAAGATGAAAGCAGACCCTAATGTTGGTGTAAGTTTATTGCCAAAGATGGGATTTTACTGAAATTTAAAATAAATAAACAGATGGACATCTTGATTAACTTCACYGATTACAGCAAAAGTTCCACTTTGCTGCTCAGACTGGAATCTAGTGCAGAAAGACCTGGGGCCTCATGTGCGTACGCACAAAAACCTTACGTACTGTACGTCATTATCCACACAAAACTCAGGATGTATCAAAACTCAACTGAACGTGGAAATGTGCGCAGCCCCGCGCCAACTCCTGGGC